TATATTTTCTACATTATAACTCAATTATGTTTTGTACTTGCTCTTGGTTACTCGAATTGCATTTCATGAACGCAGAATAATTTGCGAACGCATAAATCACCGATTTCAAACATTTTGCATTTCGTAAATATTGATAGTGACCAATCTGTTTGTATTTCAAAAAATTGTAACATGTTCCAATTAAATTAAATTAAAAAGAGAATAGTAAATAACTTAGTGTGTATTGCAGTTCATGTCCTAAATGCGAGAATGCTGTATGTAAATGATATGCAAATTAATATGCAAATTTATGCTAATTAGACCGCCCACCGGCTAATTTGGATTGTGGAGAACACTGGGTGATTACAACACTTTACAACATATTTATTTCACTGTAAACTTGAGACGATGATTTTCTGACGCTTTCATGACTGAAATGGCTGAAAAAAACATAGGTACTAAACAGCTAATCAGGTCACAAGACCAGGCATTTCAATTTGTTTATTTTCAGATGATTTTCAACCATTTCGGTGGTGAATTTAATTCTACTGAAATATGTGGTTGGATATCACAACAGGATTTAAGACAGGATTTGTATTAGAACGAGTCTGGTAGTGTATACAATGTATATACCACGCAGTGACGGTGACAGAGTGACAACGAGACAGTATTCTACAGCAAAGAATACTCGGGAATATGACATGCGTCATAGAGCGTCAGGTAGAAACAACTAGAGAATTACATTGAATCACAGTTTATATAGACAGTCAAGGATTCACACCATGTAAATAAACTATGACTGTATTTACTTTCGAAGTATGTTTACTTTTACTTTAGTACCAATAACCTTGAATAGTTAAATGGTCTGAAACAGTCAAGGTTGTGTTAGTTTACCCATGGAACTATAAACCCCAGGAAGAACAACCACTTCGTTTCCTTTGAACTATGATAGTTGCCGCGATGACGAATGTTTATTTTGACTGTTTATTTCGTCGCATTAAAAAATAAGCCGATTTACGCAAATGAACGTTTATCTCCGACTATCGGTCATTTTCGGAGTCAATCAGGCGACTTCGGGGATCACGTGATCGAGTTGTTTCGGTTATAGCATAAAAAAACAATGGCGCCAAGACAAAAACACTGATAATGAGCGACATTCAACGGGAAAAAAAAACACATTGCCACTTCTGGCGATCGAAGGGAAACACGGAATAAGTCGGGATATCTCGACAACAAACAGCATACCAAACCCCATGTTTCGCAAACTTTCGCAACCTTATTTTTTCGAAGGGTTGAAAAAAAACATGAAATAATCTAAAAACGACATTGAAAATTATGAAATCTCGCTAAAACTCCGACCCGTTGCATGATTTCCGGTACACTGAAGGTCACCCTGCAGACCGACTTGTTTGCGCATGCGTAGTTAACGAAATATTTTACTGCGCAGATATGAAATATTTTTTTCAAGTTTTCCGTTTCCAGCAAAGCGATTGATACGGGCGTATCGGCGGCAACTAACATGGAGTATGACTAATGTCGTGGAAACAAAAGCGAAAGCACTGTAAGATAAACTAAGACAAAGGTTTTTTTAATCCTCTTAGTTTCGTTGTTCTTCCTGTGGTTTATAGTTCCATGCTAAAAGTAAACAATGACCTGTGAAAATTTGTGTCATTATAACAAGTGGATTTTTCATCATATTTAGAACAGATATATAGCATAGTGCACTCATTATACACTGACCAATGGGAATAATAGTAAAAACTGTTTAAGATGTATAAATCTTTAGGGAGGTTATAACCCACATTGTACATAGGAAACTTGGATTTTCTTTTGTATCAGACAGAAGTTGTATGTCCCTGTTTTTAAGGTCTATGCTTTAAATCATAACCATCTGAATACCATTATATCATTTTTCAAATTAAACTGTTTTTTATATTTTTAATATCATTTTGATTTTTAAAAAAAATATAGAAACAATATTACACTTACTATAATTACTCTTATTAGCAGCACATGCGCTTAGGTAAATTACAGGGATCTTCAATGGTCGAAATAAGTAATATTTTCATGATTTAGTATCCACAAGTGTAATTTTAGAGCTAATATGGTATTGTATTGGATCATAATTATAATACAATTATTTATTTTGTGAAAGTACCAGGGGATCGATGAAGTTGTACATTCATGGTGGCATTCCCATTGTGGAGGGACTCAATAATTTTGTATGTACACAGCTTCCTATTTTGAGAGACAAAGTCATGCAGCTGCATTGTTACATAACATTCTTTTTGTCTCTTCGGTCTTGTAGGAAGTTAAATCCCCCCCATTGTTCTCAGAAATTAGGTTCCCAAGTACAGCAATGT